CTCATTACTACCTGACTTTCTAATTGTTGATAATAAACAAACATTTTCTCTATGGATCAATCCAAGTGCTGTGGTGTTAAGCAAGGTGCTGGTCCTGAACTGAATCATACAAGCTGGAAGGTCCTGTTCTTTTGGGAACAGCGATCCTGGTAATTCTGGGAGTGTTCAGACGATAAGGGGCTGGATGCTGCAGGGAACACTTGGAGTATTCAGAGGTTGGTGTGTGCCTGTCAATACCTGTACAGAGAGAACGAGGCCTGGTAGAGCTTGCATGGCAGAGGCTGGTGGATTCGGGGAGCTGATCCACACCAGGCACGGACAAGGCTGTCCCATGCGAAGGACAGGCAGTGGGGAGATGCCTCACAACACTGGGTGTACACTTGAGGAACATCACACTAATAAAGGATGGATCAATATCCAGTTTGTCTTCATCAACACCCAGAGCTTTAGTTCCATTTCCCCATAGGTTCTCTTACCTTGCAGGCAAGTCCAAAGTTTCCTAGGGAGGTAGGGCCCAGATGCCCAACTCTCCCCAAACTCAGTACCTTTTCCACAAGATGATTCTCTCCTCCAGCCCCTTTCCCCCTTGGCACTCTTCCAGCATTTCAGTCTTCGTGGGGATTGCCTCACCTTCTCCTTCTTTTCTCCTCTGCAAGGAACTAAACCTGGTTAAATAGACCCCAATTGACAGATGTTCCTCCTACACCAGTGGGGTTAGAATTCACACATCCAACAGAGATTTTACTTCCACAGCCATTGGCTGGTCTAGTTTAGCCTGATCCGGACTCCCTGCCGAGCCATGGCTCAGGATCTCAGGAGTTCTGATACAGCTGGACTCAGGGGCAGGCACTGGCTACATCTATTTTATGTTGCTGACAAGAAGAGTTAGTGAAGGAATCTTTGCTCCTCTTCCCTCTTTCTCACAGAGTGTCAGACACCTCATTCCCCGTCTGCCCTGAAATCTGTGCTTTCCCCTCTCAGTGATTCATTCTCCTGGCTACTGAGACACCCTTTGCAAGCTAATATCCTCTCCTGGGAAAGAGCTCAGTCAATATTCCATTGCCTTTGTTAGAGTTGAGTGTATTGACTAATGTTCATCGCCCCTGCCAGCTGCTGGGAATCATGTACTTCGCATAAGGAGAGGCAGGAAGGCTCAGTGGTTACAGCAGTAGCTTAGGCCTTGGGAGAACCCTGGTTCTGTTCCCTGCTCCGCTACAAAGGCCTTGTGTGACCTTGGTCAAGCCGCTCCGTGCCTTAGTTTCCCCATCTGTAAAACAGGTACCATAGCCTGGCCCTGCCTCATGGGAACATCGTGAGGATAAATACGTTAAAGATTGTGAGATGCTCAGATACTACAGTAATCAGGACCCTATGAGTACCTACGACAGCAGAGCTCCCTGGTGATTCTTGGGGAACATCAGAGGTTTCAGGAGATTGGTAGTGAGACATCGAACCTCTTTCACCTCTAGATCACTGGTGTGAGTTTGGCCCTGGAGGGCAGTAATGATGGAAAGTTATTGTCTAGTGGTCCTGATGTGAAATGAGTTCAGAGTCCATTGCCTAGTGGACACCACACAAACGCGACTCTCTCTCAATTAGTACTAATTGGCTCCCTTGCTGGGTGTCTCAGCAGAGACACCACGAAATAAGTGCCCCAGAGGGACTGAAGTAGGTGGCCTGTCTGAGGAAGCGTGCACAGCCTGCACTGTTCTGGCTCTGTGGATAAAGAGCGGATTCAGTCTCCAAGGTTTTCAGTCGGGCACCTTTTGCCAGCACAGATTGAATTCCCTTTACAGAATAAAATAAAACCTTTGGCTGTACAACACCTTTCTGTCTTGCCTTGCAATTGACGGATTACAAATGTCACCTTCTCCATAGAGAAGTTATCAGTGTGCTTATGTTACACAGTATGTGTACAATGGGACAACACTGAATAATTCCCAGTCAAGTCATGCTAATTTTGATTCTTACATTTGGCTGGAGGCTAAGAGTTGAAGAGGACAAAGAGAATGTGAATGTTTTTATTTATGGGAATTCTTCCTCAGATGTTGGAAGGAATCTCTCCTTATTTTAGTTTCATATTAACATATATATTTCATCATCCTTTTTCAGAAGGATACAGCTGGCACTTCATAGCTACTTATACACTGGAACTTTGTGATGGTGCATAGTCAATCCTTCTAAAAAAATGTAAGAACGTCCTGAGGGTGAAAATCAATGTTCTCTTTAAAATGGGACTTTCACACAGGGGAAATTTTCAAATATAACTTTTAAAATCCTCATCTTCCAGGAGTTTCACAACTTTCCAAGGCCACCCTTACTTCTGCGCAACATTGGCCTTTGCACCGGGAGGGGTGGTTACGGGAAGGGGGGGCAGGGGCGGCAAAGTTTGAGGTGGCTAGAGCCTGCACAAGTCCTCCCGTCGCACCACCTCTGGCTGTGTATCTGACTGTTCAATTATCCATTACTTTTCTTTTTTTGCCGATCTCGGTGATCTGGTTGGTCTGCGATTTAATGCAGCTCTTCAGGTGCTGAACAATCAAGCCCTCAGTCCCAGGGCTGGTCTTCGAGAAAATGGCCCTGGACTGGAACTTGGGAGACCTCCGCTGTCTACCACTGAGGCTGCTGTGTGGCTTTAGATAAGTCACCTCACCTCTCTGTGCTGGAGTTTCACCGTCTGTAAAATGGGGAAAATATCCATCTTCATATGGCACTTAACACTACAGATGAAAGTGGCCTATTTAAATGCCAGGTATTGCATCCTCTATTGGGCTACACTGTCTTGCATTTGATGGAGATGTGTAGGTCTCTTTGTTCCATCTCTTCTGTCTATCCTTAACTACTATGACGACTGTTCAGCTCCATTGTTATATACTGTATGTATAAAATCTCCATGAACATAAATATCCATGTATTCTCCAAGAGCCTAGGATTGTCCTTAATATGATCACCGGCTTATAAAGGACATTGTCAAGTACTTTGTAAAGTACTTACTCTTCTAAAGGTTGGAAGTGTTTATTTTTCTCTTCTTTGTTTATAACAACTCCACCCTTATAGGCTTGAAAATCACTTATTTTTCCTTCTGATTTTGTCCTTCACTGAATATTTTCCATCTTCTGTATTTCTAATTGAACTTTGAAATCACCGTGAACTTTTTGTTGTTTGTGCACTAGCCTCACTACTGAGGTCAGCACAGCTCTGGGGACAAGGTGTGCATTAAGTTCTGCCACAGGGAACAAAATAGTGTTACACTAGGGCCTACCTAAACATTGGCTCCTCTTCATTTTTTGTCTCAGCAATATTAAAAACAAGACCCTGGAAATTGGGAAAATCTTTTCCCATTAGATCAAAACAAGTTTAAGGCACGTCAGGAACTTTTAATATGTCCCTCGTAAGAAAAACAGTAGCCTTCAGCTCTGCCTGCGCCCTTTCTAGTCTGCTGTGTATTTATGCTGTTGGAATGTTGGCTGCAGGGAGATTTCTAGCTCGCTGACCCAAATAAAGAAAGGTACAGGATGAGTCCAAGGAAAATACGAGTAGGAATGATCTCATCCTGTGAGGACAGTGTGTGCTTGCTAAACTCCAGACAGACATGTAGAAATCCTCACTATTTTCCTCTGCATGTGTATATGCCTACTATGAATGAGAGTGGAAATGATTTCCAGAAGCTGTTCTGGAAGAAAAGTGACCTATAACTTCCGCAAGAAAGGCTAAAAACATAAAATGTCTGTGTCCCCACGTTACATGGAGATCTGCCTAGAAAGGGGATGAGGTTTTATCTGTATTTAATAGGCTTTGCCCTGCATTTTCGAAATCCTTCCATCTGTCATCATTCTGCAGTGTACTGGTTTACCCACCTGTAGAGAAATGGACAGAGATGAATGTGCCGATGCTGAGTTTCCCGCATTCAGAGCGGGGCATACAGCTTAGCGCGTTCGTATCTACTTGCACGTGCCAAGAGCCTAGTGTTCCTCTTACGCCGCAGCATCTCCATGGGCTTCATTGGGGTGACTTGCGATTTAGGGTGGGGTCAGCGAGAGGCGAATCAGGCCCAGATTTCAAACATGGCACCTAAGAAAATTCACTCAAGGGGAATATTCCAGGCCTGTTGCTTTGGAGACCCATCTTCTGTATCTTGCTGAAAAATTCTGTAGTGTGTGTGTGTGTGTGTGTGTGTGTGTGTATATAATATTAAAAGGGCGGGGGGGCAGAGCGGGAGGATTTTGGCTTTGTTCTGTAGAATAAAACATAGTTTGGCAAACACCTGTCTGCACTAGGAATGAGGCCTACAAGGGACTGGTGACCGGGAAACTCCCTCTGGGTTGTCAGTTCCAACCTAGACCAGGGAGCTGGGGGACTGACAGCTGCCACAGCTGATTTGCACAAATGAATTGCGAGTGGAGAAAGTGCCTGTTTCTAAAATGCCCATCAGACACAGCAGCACAGGCTCAGGGCCTTGGTCTGTCTCCTTGCAGAACGCTGTCCAAGTCACAGAAAGAGACATCACAGTTCGCAATCTTGGCATAGAGGCCGAGGATTGAATGGGCAATGGAGACTGCCCTTTCCTTCCAGCCCTGAGAGCTGGATCCTCCACCGCAGTATGTCGGCAGGGGATTGGTGTGCAGTGAAAACGCTTTCCTGGCCGTCACGGCTGCCCAGACTGATACATCAGCGGCTCCCCAGCACCATAGTGTCTGAGCCCAAGTAACAATCGCTTCTCTCTCTCCTTCACAGGTGGGATTTAAAATGAACAGATTAGTGCGTGTGTTCTGCTAACTTCCCTATTATCTAGCTTAGAAAGGCACGGTTCCACACTGGGCGAATTAATGACGTCTCCAGGGTCCACTGATGGCTTCATTAGTATTAGACTATTGTGTCCTATGGGATGGGAGGTAAAGGAAGAAATGTGGCTGGGCTCTGTTAGTGGGGGTCCCAGATGTTCTCTACTCCTTTACCAGCCAGCAGCAGCAAGGGTCACAGGTGGGAGCCCTGAGTGTTGTTAGTGCTTCCATGACCTCATCTTGTGTGAAGGGGCTAACTTCCTGGAAGGAGGAGGCTTGGCTTGTTCCTAGTGTCCCTTGAGCCTGTCCCAGATGCCCTTCACCCCAGGTTTGCGTTTGTTTTTCTCCCTCCCAGTGTTGTCTTTAGGTTTTGTTTTCAGTCCCCAGACTAACATGGAAGGAAGTGAATTAACATCTAATGTTTTGTTGTTTCAGAGGTTTTTTAAATCACTACACTCTATGTGAAAGTCGTGGGGGTTTCACACACCAGTGTGGTCAACAGGCTCCAGAAGCCCCAGGTAAGCCCCAGGTAAGGGTAGCCATGGCAAGAGGGGTGTTCAAGCTATAAATGCTGAGTCCCAAGCAGAGGGGTCAGGATTGCTGCTGATGTCCCCCACGACTTTGCATGGTTCCAGGTGCTGCTCCCTTTCTGGTTAGGGGCTGCATCATTTCACATGTCCATGCACCGTGGGTTGGCAAACATCTGGTTTGGAGAGGAGACATGAGGCAGGTCGGAGACTTATCTTTTTGGTTTCTGAGATTTTATTGCAAAACTAACAGGGCAAGAAACTAAAACCCTTATTAATTCCAAGGGAACAATTCCCAGGGCAGCTGCATTGGTCTAACCATTTGCTCTAACTTCCTGTACTTTTTCTTATTTAGTTTTTGAAGGGCAGTGTGTGTCCTCGTTCGCCCTTGTCTGGGCTTGGCTAGGCGGGGCCTGAGCAGCACTCACTGTGACATGGCATCCAAACTCCTGTTTATGGGGCGGCCGCCCTTAAGGATTTTTATTGCTCTGATATCATTAGGCAACGCCTCACTCGGATGGCAGAAAACGTTATTACTGCACCGGCACACTTTATTTGCTTTGGATTGAATGGTTCCAGTTTTTATTTTTGTAATGCTGCGGTTTTGATGGGCTGGTCTGTGTCTATATCGATACAGAGATTTCTCCACGTTAAGCAAATTCTCCTGTGTGAATTCCTGCTGGGATTAGCTCACAAGGGACCCTTGTGTGCGCTCCTCATTCCATGTGGGTTACGTCTCTCTCGTTCTATGCTTTTCTTCCTTGAACCAAACAGATATTTTGGAGAGTCGGTGCTGGGCCTGGCATAATGAGCCGTCGGGCTCCTGTCAAAGTAACGTGCTTCCCATCAAACTCTGCCCCCACCAGAAGTAGCACTAAAGGGTCTCTTGTTGGCCATCTAGCAGAAAGGCCATAGGGTGAATGGGCCACAGACACTGAACAACACTCTTGCCCCTTAGCAAGGGGTCTTTCCAAAGTAGGATGGAGGGATGTTAGCTGGGGGATAATGTGTGGAAAGCCTGCATGGTTGCTGCCCAAGTAATACGTGTTCTTGGGACAGAGGACTTGGTCTTTAGGGCTCTCAGTCCAGCATCTTCGACAGAATTTAGTTCACTGAAATTTTTTGGCTTAAAAATAAAAAAGTAGGCTGGTTTCTCCAGTGAGTGGCCCCCAAGAAAGGCAGTGGGTTGTTAGTGAAGATCTGACAATCACAGTGGTTTTGCTTTGGTTTGCCATGAAGGTGCTGAAAGAATGATGAAAATGATGAAATGGGTGGGAAGTGACAGTTATTTTCAATTCAAGCTGAACTCCTTTTATTTACTGCAAATAAAATGGGCATCGTTAGCATCCCTAGGGGCTCCTGACCCAGCTGTAGCCAGCCCTAGTTGGCTAAAGAGGACTCTTGTGTGTTTCAGACAAGTCATATAAAGGCTGCTTAACAGCTGTAAATTACTATATTTTGAATACAACTCTGGGCTGGCTCTACAAAGTAAAAACTTCCTGTTCCACCATTCATGGAACATAACATTAACAATTGCTGGACCGCCCCCTTCGCTGAACGCTCCCCTGCACCTTCGCCAGTGGGGTCCCTCTGAATCGCCTCCCCTCCCACTCTAGCACACGGGCTACGTGGTCGTTTTGTCTTCAGACCTTACCAGAAGTTTCAGATGAGCATGCAAAGGTCCTGCTGCTCCACCAGCGTAGGAGCCAAAGGTGCCTCGCTCTGGGGCTCTGCTGTTTGTGGCACCTCCAAGAGAACAGCACGATTGACTTGCTGCAGCTGTGCTCTGGCAGCCTCTCAGAGTTCACAATCCTACTGCGAGCATGCACAGAGCAAGGAGGAGCGCTAACTGGCTTTCGTCACCCCTGATAATCTTCCAGTGTAGGCCGCAGTTGTACCCATAACTTCCTCTTATTCGGATGATGCTGAGAGGCTCCTGCCCCAATCCCCATATGGGCAGGGTCATCCCAAAACTGCCTTGTAAGTGGATTTTTGAGTCCTCCTGGGTTTGCTGTGTGGTGAATTTGGTGCTTGTGGAAGGTGCTGGATTGAGAATCAATTATCCACACAGCCGGACCAGCAAAGGGAGTAGCAGAAAAAGCTCTCCCTCCCACCACCCTGCCAGTATGCTTCGTTCCCCGTAGGAGCCCCTCTTGGATGAGGGCAAGTGTGCAAGTCTCCATGGCCTGTTTAAGTGCTGGCCTCGTCTCTAAGATAACTAACAAGAAGGCCAGCTAGCACCGCTAGTGCTGGTGGTTTGTGCTACATGGACACTTCACCGTCTGACCGGTTCGGTCACTGCAGCCCCACAAATATTCTGTTGCAGCTCGGCCCCCAGCTACTGTAATAATCTGTGCTGAGCCTGCGCCCCATGGAAGGCCACTGAATGAGAGAAGTATGTGACGGTTTTGTCCTCTAATGGCTGGAAGAGGATGCAATAATACAGCAGCTGAGCCCAAGTGGTAGAACTGTCTTTTGGGAGTCCAAGGGACTCCGGATAAAACTCTAGTTAAGCCCACATTCACCGTAAGCTTATGTGTTCTTGTGAGCGATGCCAGAAGGAAAATGCCAGTAGAGCCAGGGCTGTAAATTCCGCCCGGCCCGCCCCATCAAAAAAAAAAAAGTAATTGATCTAAAAGGGAATCCATTTAATTCTGGAATTTTCTGACCTTTTTGTGGTGCAAGATGGTTTTAAAAAAAACACTAAGCTGCTCTCCTGATGACTTTTTCATATTGTTTACTTTTGTAACCTTTCTCGGTGGACTGGGAGCCAGAAATGACGTCCACTCCTAGTCTAGCCTCAGAGAAGAACTTCAGAGGAAGGAAATGCAACTTCATAAACAGCAAACCACAGACACTAATGGGGAGCAGAGGCAGACCTGCAGGTTAATAAATTCCCTGCAAGAGAAGCCCACACATCCTCACCTCTCTGGGATTCAAGAATGATTTCGACTTTAGTCTTCATTTTTCTCCTAAGCCTCTGTTGTCCTTTTGCATCAAGTCAGATGACAAGTGTAGGAGGTAAGTGGGTTTTAATTACCTCTGTGTGCGCGGACCTTCTCTGCAAACGCTGTGTGCAGCAGAGCAGCGAGAAAGCAGATGACTCGTCAACCATAGCTGGTGATACCTGAATTCGATTTTTATGAATTGTTGCTTCATACAAAACCTTGAGCCAGTCGGTTTAAACGTTCCAGTCCTAGGCTGTATTTGTTCCTCTGTTTAACGATGTTTTAACAAATTAAATCTCTTCCCCTTTGGCAGCTGGAACTGACCAAATTTTTGTTATTTTGCAAATAGGATAACATGCCCCTGGCAAGTCATCTTTGTATTGCAAAGGATGAGATTAAAGACCTATTTGATGCAGGATGTTCCGTGGCAGATACCTGGGATTTCTGTATGCTCTCATACGCACACAGCTCAGGGAAACCCTATCGTCTAGGCTAGGAATTCAGCCCCTTGTGGGATTCATGGCAGTGCTTTGTTTCTTGAGCAGTACGTTCAGGATTGTTGCTCAAGTCACGAGGACTCTGTGATTCCCATGTCAAGCAAAGCGAGAACTAAAAGAGCAAGTTCCAAAGGATAAAATGTGTTTGGAAAGAGCGTGAGGGAGCTCAAGAATATGGGCTGCAAAATAAAGGGCATGTCTGCAAATGCTCAGGTTGCCTGGGGGAATCCCATTTGGACACCTGGTTCTGTGTGTGTGTTTAGTTCTTTTAATATGCAATCTTTTCCATTGTTCATTTTAAAATAGTATCATGCTACTCGGGACAGACAAACCCATTCAGATAAAATGGACCCTTAAGCCAGAACACACACTCAGAATATTTGTGTGAAGTCAGAAAATGTTTGACCACCTTCCACTCCCTACTGGGAAAAGCAGGTTTCATTTGGTGTTTGACTTAGACACGCGTGTGGTGTTTGTCGGTTCGTTTCCTAGACCTAATTGTGCTGGAGAGGTTACAAATATTCACCCAAACTTTGAGATACTTATCAGAGCCAACCCTCCAGACAGTCAGGTTTATTCATTACAGAACATACAACGTGCTGTATGGGGTCAACTACGTGGGCCTTCAAGTCTGATATCCCGCCACTGGCGTTGGCAGATACCTCAGGCTTCAGAGGAGGATGACAGTCCCTTCTCCCATAATGCACCTTACCAATTACACAGTGCAGTGTGTGGATAGGAAATATCCTTCCTGCTCCCTGTGCGAGGTACCGTGGGATCAGGTTGGTTAGAAATGCCTGGAGGAGAGGAGAGGAGAGACAGTGGTGGTCTCCCTTTTGGGGTCAGGAAAAGAGCAGCACAGCTGATCCATCGGTCGTGGCTTTTTCTGAGCTATTTTTAAATGCGCCGTTCCCCACTGGCGCAGAGATGAACTTTGCAGCAGGCCTCAAAGGCTACCCACGTTTAGGTCCTAGCGCCCAGAACCAGAGCGGTGTTTAAGCACCATTGCTTTCAATGGACGTTAGACGCTTAAATACCTTGGCAGAGCTGGGCCTAGAGCCCAAGTTGTGAGGAACTGAAATCCTGAGCCCGGTTCCCCTCTCTGAACACCCAGGGGCTAATAGCAAGACCTTTTATTTGCTTAAGTGACCCTGTAGCTTACGGCTGCTATGGGACTGCATGAGGACAGAGGCAGGCTCTATGGCAGACAAGGCCCAAACCACTCAGGACTTCACCCGTTAAAACAAATGCCTTGAATTTCATTGCAGAGCCGACGGGGAGCCAAGGCAGGTTGCAGGCTGTTGTGTTCTGAATTAGCTGCGATTTCCAAATGGTCTTCAGGTCCAATCCCGTGTAGCACGTGCAGTGAGTCACCTCACAGAGACAAATGCCTGGACAATTGTGCTGTGTTACAAATCATGTTAATTTCCTCCCCTCCCCCCCATCAGTATCCAGGATTATACACTAGACAGAGCCTCTCTCACTCAGCATGGCGGGGGATTCGAATGAGCTAGCCGCTGGGGTTAGTTAATTCAGCTGGAATGGTCCATTGTCACGAGGACCATCAGATATTTCAAAGAGGGGCCAAATCAGAATTCAGAGTGGTTGGTTTTGCCCCGTGGTGACCTAGGAATTGTTTTGCACACCTCTGTTCAACCCCCCTGGAGCTGCAGTTCCTGCAGGTGCGTGTGCCTGCTTGCTCGTACTCTGTGGACGTGGGCAGATGTCCCTGGCACGTCCCAGAATCCCCAACAAGCCAATTCTATGCCGGGGGATCTGCTGCTTTCCACCAGTGGGCAGGCGACACTGCCCCGCGAAGCACCTTAAAGCAGCGGGTGAAGAGCCTCCGGTATCTTAGGAACAGGGTGGGCCCCCCTGTGCAGCAGCTCTTGTTTGCATGCATGGGCGCAGCCTTCGGGCCAGCTGACGGTTGGTGCCGCCCCTCATAGAATCCTCCACAGCCTTGGGCTGTAAACTTCCTTCTGCCTCGTCAGCAGCACACCCCTCCTGTATGCAACCAGCACAAAACCTGCCACCCGAGCAGTTAGCCCCACAGCCAACGCATGAGCTGGCCTGGCAGTTCAGCGGTGGGGCTAAGTGTCACCTTGGGAGAGTGATGAATCTTGGCAGGTTACCCAAATGTCACCCACACCCTCCCCCTCCCTGGAGACGGGGAGGTGTCACCCATCTTGCGTTTCCTGCACGTGTCACAATGTGCCCAGTAAATGCATTAGGGAAGTCGATGGTTACCCCTTGAGGAAGAGGGGTCTGGTTAGTGGCTTTGGGGTGAAATGAAGACAGGTTCCTCCGACGGTTTTCATGTTGATCACGTTACAAGGTACTCCCTCTTGATAGAGGATTTGTGATAAAGTCCCTGCACTCTCTTCCTTCTGTAGCGTGCAACTCCTTATTACTCTCAGCAACCGCCTCCTAGCCACAGACTGGGGAGGGGATCCTCGCTAGTGGGTTGTAATTATCAGGGCCACCTAGAGGATTCAGGGGGTCTGGGGCAAAGCAGGGGAGCTGCGGCGCTTGTACTCACCCAGCGGCGGTCCGGGTGTTTGGCGGCATTTCGGTGGCGGGGGGCCCTTCAGTCGCTCCGCTTCACTGAAGGACCCGCCCCTGCCGGGCCAGGGTTCGCGGGGCCCCTGCGGGGTCCAGGGCCTGGGGCAAATTGCCCCACTTGCCCCCACCCTGGGCGGCCCTGGTAATTATTTGGAGAGGCAGAACAATTAAGAATCAGTACACACAATGCAGAGGTGAGCAGACTATTTGGCGCGTTCCACTGTTGATGCTCCTGTTTTCAGTAGGAGGGGATGTCGGGCACCAGATGCTCGCAGAGATGAGAGAGACGAACCTGGCGCTGAAGGAAGTCAGAGATTTGCTGAAGCAGCAGGTACGTGAGAAAGCGGTCCAGTTCTGTCTCGCGCTGCGCCAGAGGGGCCAGGGAGGCAGCTGCCTTGCACACTGACCTGTTGAACAGGGAGATCAAAATGGTATTCTCATGCTAGGCAAGGGTAGGATCCTCAGGTGACCCCCACACCTAGCTCTGAGCATCCCTGAATTCTGGGATCATTTGGATTCGAATTTCCATGCAAACTCTGCTGCTTGGGCCCCCATCTTACCAAAAACTAACACAAATGAAGAATTATTTTTGTACATGAATAGACAGACTGGACATATATCACTGGAGTAACGTGTGGCAGGGCCAGTAACAGTCATTTTTTCCTTGGTTTTGTGGGCTTATGAAGTCAACAGGCAGAGGCCAGGCTGGAAGAGAGAGGAGCCCATTCAGCCACCCAGTAGGCTCTAGGAAACAGAAGTCACACGGGCTCTGAACAAGCCTTGTATTCACTGTCTTGGTTTCCTCCTGTTGCTTTAATCCTACACCTCGCAAGCTCCAGCAGCAACTGAGGGACTTTGGAACTTTGGGTGAATTTAGATCTTGCCTGTTTTACCGAGGAGGTGGCCGTTTGTCTGGTCAGCTCCTTTTTAACTCCATAGAAAGGCTCCATTCTCCCTCTCGACTCCGTTCACGGGAGGCAGCAGCCTCTGCCTGCCAGAGAATTGGAACGGCAGCCAGGCCCCGGTGCCAGTGCAAACTGGACGGCCTCTAATCTGCAAAACCATCTGTTGCACTGAATTACTCTCACATTTCAGGCTGTTGCATAAATATCCAGTGTTTGCTAGGAATCAGGTCAGACATGGCTCCTAGTAGCCTAGGGCGGTGCTTTCCAACATTCCCTTCAAGCTGAGCGTTGCTTCTCCACACAGGCTTTTTTATTTATTCTCTCCCCCCCCCCCCCCGGGTCCTTTTCCATGGATTCCCTCTCTAACAGACTCTCGCACATCACTAGAGAGCTAAGGTGGAAGCTTACACAGATGTGCTGTTCATTTCTTTACGTTTTTCTATTACCTTATTTTCCACAATTCGGCATTTCACACATCAGTAATGAGCAACACCAGGTTGGCTATGCAGCCCGAACCCACAGCACCAAGCAACCCTGGATGAATTCGAGGTGGTGCTGGATAGCGGCACTCCGATCCTGCTCCAAACTCCCTCGCTGGCTGGAATGCTTTGAATTGGGGATTTGAGTTTGGTGCTACATCTGGCTTAGATTAAATTATTCTAAACACATGACGTGAAGATTACTGTAGCCTCAGGGTAACGCTGGATGGAGGAAGAGTCTGGTGGAAAATGAGCCCCTGCCCTTGTACGTAGGAGCTGTGGGTGAGATGTGAACAGATGCTTCCGTGTGGGCACAATCCTGATCTATGGTGATGAGAACTCCAGGGCTGTGGGGTGCTGGAGAGAGACCAGAGGATGTCGCTTTGCAGTCTGACTTCTCCCCTTCCCTCACTTGGGCAGCGCTGCTCCCTGCGATGTTATGGAACCATAGAAATGGGAGCTGGAAAAGACCTATGAAGTCATCTAGACAATTCCCCAACCAGTGCACTTCGTCCACTAGGCTCCCAGGCAGTCAGGGTCTGCCCTTGCTATTTGTAAAGGTGTCCACGCTGGTGCAAAGTCTTGCCTAACACCACCTTTGCTAATGCATTTTCCTAGTTGCGATGGGGCCACAGCTGGAAGGTGCGTTTTGCCTGGGACCTAACTGGTGTCCCCAGAACCAGACTAAAGCCTGGGGCTGCTCCTGCCCTTGCTAGCCGCTTTCTCTGGGTTCGAACCAGGCTCTCTGGCTTGGCTGTAGCTTTAGGAGAGCTGGGGTCATGGAGAGTGCTGGGACGCTCGGTTCTACATGTGCCTGAAAACGGACCTACACCCTTGTCTGTGCCAAACCAAAATCCTTCACTCCACTGAAGGGACAGCCTGTCTCCACCCCCCACTGCAGATTAGCAAGATTGTTTTAATGACCCTGTTGATCTCCCGCCCCCCTCTTTGGATTAAAGGAACTGGCTAGGCGGGTGGCCAGTCCCTTGCAGCCATTTCAGTGGCTTCTGCCAGCTGCTTTGCTCTCATCCTCCCACACTAGAAAACCCAGCAGGTCGCTAAGTGAATGGGGGGCTCCCTGGAGTAAGCCCCTTTTGGAGGGGAAGGGCAGGACTGAGCCTTGGTTTCAGCGCTGCTGGGTACCAGCTGTGGCACCTGCCGGGCTGAGCAGGCTGTCTGACACCCCAGGTATTCGGAGAGTCTCTGCTCTTCCTCTATTTCCCCCGTCTGAACCCCTTGTCTAGTGACCCGTGTGTGACACTAATTAACCCCTTACTGGCCCTGACTTTCCCTTTCATGCACTCCAGCTCAGAGGGGGGGTACAGCTGCAGGGAATGCTATGAGGGAGAAGCTCCGCAACTTGCATGAGTATTAAAGCCCCTGGAACAATGAAACGTGTCTCCCCTGGCATTGGGATTCTCTGCCCTGGCCCATGGTAAGCTCATCTCGGCAGCATTGGGGGCCTGTCTCCTCTAGGCTGAAGGGTGTGTGAGAGGTGCGGAGGGCAGGGAGATAAAGCGGTCTCAGTCCGCACGAGGCCCACAACTCGGAGACTACGCCTCTTGTAAACAAACGTGTAGAAGCACAGGTGTGCGATTCCCTTCTGGCGCTGAAAAGCCGCAGTGCAAGCGACCTGAACGGGAGCGGAAACTTCTGGCTAACTGGTGGCTCTTGTTTCCTTTCTAGATTAAGGAGATCACGTTCCTGAAAAACACAGTCATGGAGTGCGACGCCTGTGGTGAGTTGTTCCGTTAAATGCTCCAGGCCCAACTGCTCACTGCTGCCGCCTACGTCTGTTTAAACCAGCAACAGACATCACCTAGCACAGCCCCCAGCGAGGGGTCGACTTGTTCATGTTCACTAGCCGTGCCCTAGGATAATCCTCAGCCTTGGCAATGCCCCTCTTCAAAGCACTTTGTAACCGTTAACGAAGCTTCACGACCCACTCCTGGGAGGCAGCGGAGGATAAGTATCCCTAGTGCACAGCTGGGTGAAGTGAAGCAACTTGCCCCCGGAGAGTCAGTGTCGGAGCTGGGTTAGAGCTTGGGGATTTCTGGATCCCAGCCCTGTGCTCAGGTCTTTGTCCTAGGGTGTCACCCCCGTAGCAATCGCAGACGGAACCGTTAGCTGGTGCAGGGCCTGGGAGCCTCTTCCCTTCTGAGACACAGGCCGTGGCCTAGACACACACAGGCACTAGCTTAATTCAACTGCGTGTAAAACGCTGTGTGGACAGTTGTATTTTAGATCGGTCCAGATGCGTTCCTAGTCAACGTAAGCTAAACCGCTGCTCTGCGCCGGAGCGCAGCGTGTCCACACAGCCTTTTGCATCTGTTTGAAAATCAGGCCTCAAGTTAAACCTGTGCAATGCTGCAGGGAGGTGAGCCCGGAGTCCTCTCCATCTACGGCTGCCCCAGGAACAGCCTAGTCCACACAACCCCCAGCTCTTTGTATCCTCAACTGTGGATAAACTGTGTTCCATAACAGCCCTGCACCGGGTAGGGCGGTCCTTTCGGTTTTCAGGTGCATACAGCCTCCAGTCGCCTAATACCCCCACCTCAGGCATGTTCTAATCGCCCAGGAATGCACCTCCACAGGTTTGCTAGTTAGTGGGCCGCTCTTGAGCTGTGAATGAAAGGGAACGTTGCTCTGTGCCATTCCTTCCAAGCCACTTCTGTCCCGTCCCAGCAAGGAAACAAGCAACATTTTGTACATCGATTGCTGCCTGCTCCCCACTAAGCCACTTTCTGGGCTGAGATTTACTTCCAGGGTACTTGGTTTTAGGAGAGCGCAGTTGAGGGAGATGCTCCGTTATTTGCCAGCACAGCTAAAGAATAGAGCAGTAACTGGTTCCACATTTCTGCAGGAAAAGAGATTAGCCAGAGCCTCTGGGACCTACCGTACAGAATCACATTCATCCACAGCAGTTGTTTTAATAAGTTGCTCATAAAACTGTCTTGAACTTTCTTCCTCTCACTTGATCTCTGTCTTCCCTGCTCATTACTCTGGTTTCCAAAGAGGTTGGGGAAAGATGGATGACTCGGCATTCCTGGGGCTATCCGTCGAGCTGTCAGGGCCTTGAACGAGAGCACTTCATAGCATCGCTGCAGCTCTAATCCGTACCTCCAAGGCAGACTGGGTAACAGTCCTCCTACGGGACAACCTTGGAGCTTCAGAAATAGATGCTAATCTTAGATTCCCACCCGGGAGTCATACCAGCCCTCCCTTCTGGGGCCAGTTCGGGACCCTCTGCTACCCTGGGGAGTCTGGGTAATGGGTGTGACGGTTAGGCGAGCAGGATTGAGAAGGAGGTGGATGTCATTAATGTACCAGCTGGGGAGTCAAGATTCCAGGCTGTATTTCCCACTGAGTCTGAGAGGCCTCAGACAAGTAACTTCTTTGTGCCTCAATTTCCCCATCTGCAAAATAGGAACATGACTGTTTTCCCTCCCAGGGTAGTGAGAGATCATTCACTATTTGTAAAGCACTATGAGAAGGCACCAGGTAAGTGTAACATATGCTAGGTGCTGGCTGTGGCAGCTCTGTTCCTAACGTGTTTTCTACTCTCCAGGCATGCACCCAGGGGCAACTGGCCCAGGGATCAGCATAACACGATTTCCCAGATGTTTACCAAACCCTTGTTTCCCTGGAGTTACCTGCACAGAGACTGACTCTGGCTTTCACTGTGGACCCTGCCCCCTGGGCTTCACTGGCAACGGGACCCACTGCACAGATATCAATGAGGTCAGAGACCATCTGCAATGAGTCACTGGACATTACAAAAACCTGTGGTTAACTCCTCTCTGGAGCAGAGTAAGGGTTTCTCACGTTAGCCTTGTCATCATCAATGGAGGTCACACAGTTAAACTTCCCTGCCTAATGCAACAAACCAATGCCCGCCGTAATTTAACTGGAGTGGGTGCGTGTCTCATGTATTAAAACTCCCTTCTTCTTGCTCCATCCAAGAAGTCTTTAAAGGCCTGGCGTCTCTTTCTAAAAGTGATGCAATGGCTCAATGAGGAGGCATGGGCCTGATGCAGAAATGATCAGGTGAGGCTCGCTGGCCTGTGATGTGCACGTCAGACTAGATGATCATAATGGACCCCTGAAACCTGCCCAGCGGGCTCCCTCTGAACACGGGAAACCAGTCTTTGTTTCTGATCCGTCTCTGCAGTTTAAGATCAGCTTCTACGAGGCAAATGATTTTTTCCCCCCTGATTCTTTGGCTGGTCACTTACTAAAGACCGGTTTTACTTCCTTTGTACGGCTAGAATTTTGTTCAGTTGCAGAGGTTTGTTGGATGGCAACAGGTTTCTTTGTTTAATGATACTGGTTGCATCTGAAGAAGTGGGATGTAGCCCACGAAAGCTTATGCTCAAATAAATTTGTTAGTCTCTAAGGTGTTCTTTTTACTGGGGATATAATGCACAAGGATTAAATTAAAACGGTGGGAAAAGGATTAAGCAAGTTATAATGAAGGAAAGTCTAATCTTTGGGGCTGGATGTGCTGTTGAATGCTAATGCTCTCCTTCTGAGATGGGCAATTACACCACAGTGCTGTGAATAAACCCCGACCCCTCAAAACCAGCATGACAAATTATATGGTACTTTGGCCTCTGAGACGCTGCCAAGACGAAGTGTAAGTTAGGGCCCTGCCTGGGAAACAGATGGCACCTTGGAAATTAACAGGAAGGAATCTTGTCAGTTGATTTGCTTTCCTTGTCTGCGCCCTATGCAGCTTGGGAGAGCAGAGTACATGGGGAGCTGCACTTTCCAGTGGCACAGAAATTCAAAGCTCCCCTTCCCTCTTGCCTGCCTCTTGGGGCCTTTCCTCCCTCCTTGCCCCGTCCCGCCAGGGTCAGACTCGAGGAATGGCTGGTTTAGAATTGCAACTAGCAACTCAGCAGGAACTCTCCTTCTTGCCTACAGTGCAGCGCAAACCCCTGCTTCCCAAGAGTCAACTGCATTAACACTGCCCCTGGCTTCCATTGTGACCCCTGTCCCACCGGCTACACTGGACCAGCACCCCAAGGGGTTGGGTTAGCGTTCGCCAGAGCCAACAAACAGGTACATCCATCCCCCTCATCCCATCCCAAAAGCCACTTTAAGGGAGGCGGCTGCTTTCTACTGAAGTGTGACTCACCCTCCCGCTTTCTCCTTCCCGGACAGGTTTGTACAGACATCAATGAATGTGAGACGGACAGCGCCAGGGCTTGCGTCCCAAACTCCATCTGCATCAACACTCGGGTAACTAGCACAGCTGGCCTGGGCCGCTACCCCTAGACCCCCTGCAGCGTCTCCTTTCAGTTGGGACGGAGCAGTCGCCCCCACTGGATGGGGGGTTCAAGTAACGTTTTCCCAGCACCCACGTTACTTCTTGTTGCTCCCCTGGCAGGGATCCTACAAGTGCGGGTCCTGTAAGCCTGGCTTTGTTGGGGACCAGACTGCTGGGTGCAGAAGCCAGGCGGAGAGACGCTGTCCCAACGGGGAACTCAGTCCGTGCCATGAGAGAGCTCGCTGCATCGTTGAACGGGATGGGACCATCTCGTGTGTGGTGAGAACCAAACCACCCTTCGCTTAGACAGCAGGGCCTTCGGGGGGCCTGTTTTCCCTTCACGTCCGGTCTGCTTTTCTAAGTGCATACAGGTTCCTGTGTCTATCACTGACCCTACTGGCCAGCACGTGCCACCAGCATCAGTTCCTTCTCCCAGCGAAGCTGAGAGAGGAACTTCCCCGTTCGCACACCGCAGAGTGGCCTGTTGCTGCCTACGTGCAGTGAGCCGTGGTCTCTGTGTGTCCACAGCCCCTGAGCGTTACGCTGGCGCTGAAGGGGGGTGAGTCCTGTTCCACTGGACCTTGGCTCCCAGTCTGAACACGCTGGGGCCAGGGGGAGCCCAGGGCTGCCGAGTCTCGCTCTATGCCTCAGTATGCAGCGGAGAGCTCAGACCTGAGCTAATACCACATCACAGCACAGCTGCCTCTTCCAGGGGATAGCCCACCTGTGAATGAGGCATCCAATCCCCCAGGAGTTCTGAGACCAAGTGCAGCCCATGGTATGCAGCCCTGCAGCCTGGATGCATGGACTCAGGAGAGCAGTTCTGCAGTAGACCTCTCCCTGCGCCCTCACTCCCCACATCTGCTGTCTCGCAGTGCATTGTCGGGTGGGCCGGGAACGGCTACGTCTGCGGGAGAGACACAGACATCGATGGATTCCCAGATGAGAAGCTGCGCTGCACAGACCGAAAATGCCGCAAGGTAAGAGATTGAGCAGGACGCCAGGGCAATGCAGAGCAAAGAACTCATAACGCAGGGCAGCTCCGCTTTCCCACCCCTATGGAACCACTGTCCCCTAAGCCACGCAGGCGCGTCGCTTGCAGCAGCCCCTGGGCCTGGCTCAGGAGTGACCTGCCTCCCAGGGCAGGCGTGTCCAGGCTTTTGTGGTTTGAAAAAAGTGTGTGTGTGTGTGTGTGTGTGTGTGTGTGTGTGTGTGTGTCGTTTCCATAATACACCA